GAAGGGGAGGGAAGGAGAAAAAGAGAGGAACAGGGAGAGACAGACAGACATACAGACAGATCTGTCTAGGAAATCTACAAGAAGTCCACACATACATGCGTATACAAGAGCAAAATGTGCACTCTTGAGCAGGTTGAGTTAGGGGAAAGCCCTGGGTGGAAACACAAAGACCACAACACACACCTAAGATGACATGGAGACCACCTGCTAGACTATGATTTCTCCAAAACAGGTTACAAAATTCCAGGCACGGGGTCATGCTAGACCTTGAGAGTCAACCACTCTAGCATCTCTAGGTCCACATCTGCACTAAGGTTGAGTGGTGGTGGCACATCCCTTTAACTCCAGCACTTAGGAGGCAAAGGCAGATGATGGATCTCTGTGAATTCAAGGTCAGCCTGGCCTACGAGTTACAGGATAGCCAGGGCTACACAGCACAGAGAAACCCCGTCTTGAAAAAACAGAAAAAGAGAAAAGAAACCTGATAAAGCATCTTCCTACATGTCTTTCCCAAGACAGTAAAGGAGGAAGAGAACCTCATTCTGCCCAACAACAGGATTAGTTACTCATTGTAAAATTCACCCCTCAGGATTTACAATTTAGTAAAGAATGATGAGACTCCATTCTTAGAAGGCAAGCATCCTGGCTATTTCAACCACTGCCATGGTGTGCTTCAATCATTCACTTACATTTATTCTTTCCTACCAGACTCTGAGCTCCTCCTTGGTTTGGCAAATAGTATCAACCCTTACTAGGCAATGGAATGAAGGATGCTGAACAATACCTTTTCCAAAACAGGTCAGAAAAAGAATGGGTGAAGGTGGTCCCCATGTGGGAGCAATGATTCACTGACTACAGAAGTTGCTAAAATGTCATTCTAGCTATGCCCCATAAATATTAATAATAATAAGGAAGTGGAAATGAGATGGCATATAAAAAAGTCAGTTGCATAAAGAATATCTGATAACACTTGAAAAGATCTACAAGATAAATAGGCATATATGATCTATCTGTAATGCAAGATATTTTAATTCTTATAGATTAAAATTAGAATCCACAATGATCTAATACATGCTAATGGCAAGGAAAAGCCATGTGTAGAATCATGGAAAAAAGAGGAAAAGCCTCTGCTGAGTCTTAGGTCACTAACATTGAGCCACAGGAAAAGGCAGAGATCACATTTTAGTGGTCATTTCATTCCTGTCCACCCTCTTTGGAAAGAATGGGCTCTCCTAACCAAAAGGACAGACTAAGTAACACGATGAAGGGAGATACAGAGGCAGTTAAAAGGCTCTCTAGGTGCCAAGTCAGCCCTCACAGGTGAGACTGCAGAGCCATTTTTGACAGACAAGCCACAGAGGAGCAGGAGGCCAACTGCAGAAACTGCGCACTTCAATTCTTCAACAACTGATACTAACACCTGTTTGTTCTGCTTTTGTTTCTAGACATTTCTCTGGGAAATAAGCAAGATTTTGTCAAGAACTATAGTGCCCTTCCAACTAAAGTATTCAAGATGTTAAACTTATTTTGAAATTGAACAGGTAGTCATGGAGGTATCTTCTACTGACAACTATTTTTCAAACAGAAATATTTCCTTCCTATATTCCGTGACTTACTTCCTCTTACATTGCCTGCTCACATCACGGGCCTTCCAGTTAGCTTTCTTTCCCTCTGACAAACCAACCCCCAAACAGAGTAGAATACAGTGGCCAATAAAAGCCAAAAAGATTTACCATAATGAACCAATCAAATCAAAGTAATTCACTTGGAATAGGTTCCTTAGGTTGTTGAGTATAGTATATCTTGAATTCAACAGTCCATGCTGTTTTGAATGATTACCCTTTGGAATAAAGATGGTTAAAAATAGCATGGCTACCAACAGAGTCTAGGCAAATTTATGCAGCACTCTAGATACTATGTTAGTCTCTGCCATACTATTTGGATTGTTTAACTCTGCATTTTTCTATATATTTAACAAAATGTACATAAGTTCAAAACATGGAAACAAAGAGGTAGTTGTACAGGTGACAGAATCAAGAGTGAAAACCATCTTAAAATTACTACATTCTTTACACAAATTAAAATAGTCGCTAAAACACAGCTGTCATTTTATAATTATATAGTCATTTCATACGGCAAACTTCTAAAATGGGGACATAGAAACAAGAATTCACTCTAGAACAAATTCAATCACACAAATTTATCATGTACACATTCCTATTTTTTTTTCTTTTTTAAATGCATCAGGAGAGTACAGGAGAGAAAAAAGAAAACTTAAGTATCCAGTAATGTGCACAGGAAAAGGCATAATGGGTTTACTTATCAGGCTTATGGTATCTGAATTAAAAAAAAAAAACTGGTACAGCTGGGTATGGTGGCGTACATCTTTAATCCCAGCACCCAGGAAGCAGAGGCAGGCGAATCTCTGTGAATTCCAGGCCACCCTGGTCTACAGAGCGAGTTCTAGGACAGCCAGAGTTACATGGAGAAACCTTGCCTCAAAAAACAAAAACCAACAAACCAAACTGGTACAGAGCGTCTAAACACCATATAAACAGATGTGCACATCTAAATCAGAACTAGTACAACCTTGGTCGAACCACAAATGTTAATGTCTGAGCCTCAGCTCCCCCTTTTTTAGATGCTTATATAAACACAAATGTAAGGACAAGTATTGTCAGTAAGAATGGCTTTCATGGCAAAGCAGATCTATTATCTGACCACCTGGAGTTACTATCATCAGATGGAAGCTCACTCTAAGGAAGGCACTGTCAAGTAACCTATATTACAGAGAGCTACAAAGAAAACTGGGTATCAAGTTACATGTGAATGGCTGAACTGAGAACCGGATTGACATCCAAAAGACAGAAAACAAGCAGCAACCTCTTTTGTGGATTTGCAAAACAGCACTGAAACGGTATAAATGGGAAAAGATGAAAAGATTTTGAGTTAACTATGAGAAAAAAATTGCAATGACAAGTTGCCATAAAGAACTCCTAATTATTAAAGTTCTTTAACAGCTTACCAGCATAAAGAATTCTGAAAATTCCAATTTTTTATAGAAGCTTTTGGAACTGTGTCTAAGTTAAAAAAGACCAACACTATTTATCTACTTATATCTATATATACATATAGATAGTATATATAGAATTTTTTCCTGTGCACATCAATAAGCAGTAAGATGGAAAGCAGTAACATTGTAAAAAGCTGTGTGGTGGTGGTGGTAGGGTGCTGGGAGAGGAATTAAAGGGTAACATGCAGTTGGAATTAAAGGGGAGATCTTAACAATGGAAGGAAGAGGTAGGTTACAATTCAAGTTTATTCTGACTACATGATTCTACAGCCAAACTCTCACACAAAGTAGGTCCAAGCTTTGCAGGCCCCAGGAGCACATGACCCCCAAACACACAGTGAATGTCAACTGAGTCCACCCTGCTCCCACACTCTCGTAATAGCCACACTGTTCTGCTTGCTTCTCATGTCCCTGCTGAGTGACAGAAGAGTGTCTATTCCCAATAAAGTCAGCAACAGCTTTTGATTGTTCAGTGTTGAAAAAACATTTTTTTTAATTGGGGTATAAGTTTCTTTCCAGTTTTGCATTCAGATTAGATACTTGTGCTGACTTTACAGCAATTCCCAATAGTTTCTATTGAAATTTCTAAGATTTCTGATGTTCATAATTTTTATAAATAAGAGATTTTCCAATGATCTAGAAGTTAAATCACTAAAGCTGTGTCTACTGCATTTTGATTATACAGTTCACTTTTATTTTAACAGTGAGATCAGTCAGCCTCATCTGATTCTAAAGGATACCTCTTACAAGCACAGAATTAGCTTAAGGGCTATGAACTCACAAAAATTGCAAATGAAACTAAAATTATTCATTTTTCCAAAATATTATTTTAACTGGCAAATTCATAACTTGGTTATGAGCTTCATGCTAAGTATTTCCGGGCACTAGAATAGTTTACTTTGCTGTAATTTCATTAAAAAAAATTTCAGAACCTGACACTACTGTATATTAAGACAGAATATAATGGGTAACAGATGACTCATACACCTCCAGATGCAGCTCAGCTGACCACTCATACACCTTCACAAGTTTCTCGATGCATAACTTTTGCAAACCAAGAGGCATTTGTTAAGGTTTAAGATTGGCTGAGATACAAACACTCATTTTCTGAAACATGTACATATTGAAATTTCAGAAATTATGTGCAATGTGTGCTATAAGGGGAAAAACACTAGAAATGTAATATTAATAAGTGAAAAGAGACAAGCTGAAAAGGGTAATGTTATTCCAAAGAAGACAAAAATAGAACAGGGATAACTACAGGGAAAGTAAACAGACCAGTGGCTTAGTGGGGATGGGGGATGCATGAACAGACAGAATAGAGAGAAATATCAGGACAGTACAATAATGGGCATGTCATTTACAGTTGTTCAATTCTGTACAATGTACAACAGCATGGGTGAGTAGCCCTCGTACAAACTGTGGAATCTGGGTGATAGTGTTGTATCAATGTAGGCTCATCAACTGGAAGATGCAGGTAATGGAGGAATCTACGCATTGTGGGGGAGAGGAGAGCAGGGGAAATTTAACTTCTAATTTTGCAGTGAACAAAAAGCAGCTCTAAGCACATAGGTTTTCTGATGCTTTTTAAAGGTTATTTTGATTTTCCTTCTTCTTATTTAAAATGAATAGGGTAAAATGAAACCTTTTCTGCTTCCAGTTTTCAAGTGATTATTTCAATATAAAAAACAGAGAAATTCTTCAACAACACAATCACCTGGTATTGACTACTATGATGTTTGTGACACGTAGTTTAATTATTAAACTTTTTATTGCACGCATGAACACAAACACACACACACACACACACACACACACAGAGTCTGTCTTAATATGACCGCATTCTCTCTAGTCCATGAGAGCCAGTCCTCCTGTGCAGGATAGCATTTCAAAAGACTCTGATGAATTCAAAGGCTTTTATGCTTACCACCAGTCCACTAAAAAGACTTTATTTTAAAATCACTTAAGATTATGTATTTATGTAAGTGTTCATCCTTAGTTATGATTTATTATAGTTGAATTTGGAACAGATTGCCAGAGATGGTCTTGACAGAACCAATTCTCAGTCAATATTCAAGCTCACTGCAAAAGAAGGCAGGAAGGGAAGAGGGGAGGAAGATTAGATGAATACATTTTAAATATAAGTCAGAAACTTTAATTCTTATTTCAGATATTCTGGAGCTTCACACTGAATTAGAACTAATGTTTTAGTGAAAGAAAATAATTAGAAGTATTACATGATTTTTAAAGAATGTCTTAAAAACTTGCCTGAACTGAATCTCAAAACCTTCCAATGTCAAAAATCTGTTGGTTCAACATTTAACAATGCAGTGGTTGCTCTTCAGTCAGTTCCCAAACCCAGACTATGCCTTCTGTTCAATGTGTTGTTTTAATTCAAAAGAGAAAGGAAGAAAAGACTATGGTCATTTAAAAGATCCAAATCCATTTTGGTAATAAATGGACAGAGGAGTAGAGTGCCTCCAGTTAGCAGAACATACTAGCATTTCTGATAGACACCATTTTCTCTTCTGATAGAGAAAAATCTAGGACATTTGGGTCCAGTAGGAAAAGCACACAAATAGTAAACATTAAGGTCTAGTTATCGGATTGGGGATGTAGCTCAGCTGACAAGTGCCTGCCTAACTTATATAAGGCCCTGGGTTTGATTCCCAGTACTACATAAAAGCAGACATGTTAGCACATGCCTGTAACCCAACACTCAGAAGATGGTGAAGTTCAGGGTCATCTTATTACAAAGTGAATTTAAAACAAGCCTGGACTAAATGAGACCTTGTTTCAAAATAAAATATAAATAAATTTAGAAGATCTGGTTCCAACTTCCCCACTAATTGTGGTAAATTACATGGATCAAGAATGATTCCTTGTCCAGAGAAAGAAAAAGGTAAAGATGTAAGCACAAGCTGTCAGAGTGGCACATAAGATGTTCAAAAATTAAAATCTGAAATTGTTGTAACATAACTTGTATGTTTGAGGATTATTTAAACCCATGTTTATTTTAGCAATATATTTAAGTAAATTTAAAAATACACTGAGAGATTGGGTGAGGTGGCTCACGCCTTTAGTCTCTGTACTTAGGAGGCAGAAGCAAGCAGATCTCTGTGAGTTCAGTGACAGTTTTGTCTACAAAACAAGCTCCAGAGCAGCCAGGATTAAAAAGTGTGAACCTGTCTCAAAACAAAACAGTAACAAAAGAACAAAGACCAATATACCAGGTTTTAAGAGTTTATATCTAGCAGGACTGACTGGGACCATGTGAAGATCACAGTAAGGTTTACTAGCAAACAAATTTAGAAGGGGTAAGGAAATGAACCTGATAGACATTCTTTCCTTAATGGGCATTACGAAGTAAACAGAGGGGTTGGAGAGATGGCTCTTCCAGAGGTCCGGAGTTCAATTCCCAGCACCCGCATGGTGACTCACAAGCACCCATAATGAGATCTGGTGCCCTCTTCTGGCCTGCAGGCAGAATACTACATACATAATTAAATAAAATCTTTAAAAAAAAGTAGATAGAGCCTTAATTCATAATGATGGTAGGTTTTTCTTTGTGGGGGACAGGGAGGGGAAACTGGATATCAAACACAGGGCCTTACACAAGTACTACAATTATGAATTTTAATAAAATGTATTGTTTTAATAGCAAAAAACATAGATGGAACAATAACATGCAACCTAACAGTTTTAGGTGAATACAAAATGTTCCTACTTGGCTGATGACTTCATAACACAGGGCCTGGTTTACCTTCATTTAGTTGGGTTGTCAACTTATAGATGTAAAAGGAAAAAAAAAAAACCAACCACACAGCTTCAGGGAGTCAGACTTCTGGCAAAAGAACACATGTAATGTGCCGAGGTTTGAAGGAATCCCAGTGAAGCTCCAGACCATTGTGCTCAGTGTAAATATGGAGTCGAGTCACTGGAATTACATTTTGCCGTATCAGGAAATACACAGCAGCAGGCTGTAAGAGTTGACTGGAGAGAACTTTCTTGACCTTCTCTTGGAGATGCTGATGTTACCATCTTTAAGTTCTTGTCCAGTCTTTCCTGTTTCAGTATGCTAAAGCATAATGTCCTTGATGGAAAAAGCCAGCAAAGCAGCTAAGGGTCTAAAAGGTGTAGACAGAGTACCTCTTCTTCAAACTCGAACTCGAGAGAGAACACACCTTTAGTGTTGTTGTAATACACCTTAGAGCCATCACTACAGAGTTGTTGGATTATTTGTTTCACAGTATTAGAGATATCAGCAGTGCATGTTGGTCCTAAGTGCATACATTAAATCTCACCACTTTTTAATCTTTTAATTCTGACATTGACAATAATATAATGAAGTCTACACGAAGAATACTTGAAAAGCCAAACTTCTCCCCTCTTCTTAAAGTTCCTCCTGGATCACTGGGCCACAGTTGACTTGACAGCTTATAGGCCATGTGATAACTGCAGGTCCATGGGTATTTTGAAAGCCTTCATTTTCACTGATTCTGAGCAGAAAAACCCTTGAGAAAACCTCTAGAATAATTAAACTGTAAGACACAACATTTAGTGAAGAAACACATCCAGAATCTTTAAGTTCTTTGTTCCAGTGAGTTGTATGTATGAAAGAAAATTCAGAATCTCAACGTTCTTTTCACCAGTGAGTAGTGTGTTTAAAAAAAAAAAACACACAAACAAAAAACCAGACAGGACGAAAAAGATCTAAATTTTTGTCTGAATGTGACTACCAAAGCAAAACAAACAAAACAAAACAAAACAAAAAACACCTCACAATCCTTCTGAGATTGGATTATTATTTGATTCTTACAAGGAGAATTGCTAAAGACTGTGCTATCTGTCAGTGCTCATTTGTAATATAAATCTTATTTTTTCATAGATTTTTCTAAAGAGTAACATGAGATGGTCTTATTTAGTAGTAAAATTTTGCACTAATGATTTTAATACAAAAGTTTATTTGGGAGAAACAAAATTAGTCAGAAAATATTTTAATAAGACAGCATTAATCCCAAATGTATGAATGAGATGAAACAGCAGGATACGAGAAGTCACAGAAAACTAGCACGAGACTATTTTCTCTGCTATAATTATCAGGTGGAGGATTTACCTGAAAATTATATACAGCCTACAAGTGCAGACAGGCACACACACAGAACAAATGTTATACTTTACACCTTGGCTAAGTAAAACCTTTCTTGCATGATGCTAATTAAGCCTCCTGAAGACAGCAAGGTGTTCCTAGAAGAAATCAAGGGTCCAAACTTTGGTTCCTTGTTCTTTTTGGGTTTGTTTTGCTGCAGAAGGGGGCTTGCAGGGTGGGAATGAAAACTGTCAAACAAAGCTTAAGTTGAAGCGGTGAAGAGATGTATTTTAAAGTTTGATATTTATTTACCTTTCAGCTTACTGGGTAAATGTGGATATAGCCACTGTCACACTGCCCCAACAATAAAGGGCCAAAATTCTCACTAACAATGAAATAATTAAAGGGCAGTACTAGGCCCGTGCCCCACTCATATTTAAATAGTTAATCCTACTTTACATGAACTTGACTCTATGACAAAGAAAGGCCTGGGTACTTTAAGGTTTTATAGATTATATGATGGGAGGAGTTTCAGGAGTAATGCTTTTGGATTTACCAGCACAATGATGGATGTGAGGACTACAGCAGGTGTGGCAACACTGTTCTAAAGTCGGTTTGGAGCTTCTGGGATCCTTAGGATAATCCAAACAGTGTGAAATGGCTACAAGTGAAATCAACAACTTTCTAGGAATTGTGGGCAAGACGAAGCTAGGAAGAATGGACTGGCTTGTTAAGGTCAACATTCTATGCTATTTTACAGAAACTCAGGGCACTTTAGCCAACTCTTCACATAGATTAAATTGCTTAGGCTTACCTCAATTCTAGGTAGAGAGTGGATCCCCACCCCAGACTAGCAATGTAACATGGTGTAATGGTTAGTTTTATCAACTTGAGAAAATTTAGAATCGCTCAGGGAAGAGTGATTTTTTTTTTCAGTGAAGGTATGTCTAGATCAGTTTGACCAATGGACACATCTATAGGGGAGTATTTATATTGCATTAACTGATGCAGGAAGACCCAGCCTAAAAGTGGGTAGCACCACTCCCTGAGTTTGTATGCTGAGGTGTGTAAAACTGGAGAAAGATAGCTGGGTATAACATGCATGATTCATTCCTTCCCCTCTGCTTCCTGACTATGATGAAATATTGACAGCTGTCACAAGCACGCTAAGTCCTCCAAATGACGGATGGGCTGTAACTTGGAACCATGAGCAAAAATAAACCCTTTTTCCTAGGTTGTTTTTGTCAAGTTATTTTAACTAGATGGTAGTAACATTAATTCGCCTAGAAGCAAATCACAGACTAGTCAAGAGGTCCAAGAACAGTGGCTTCTCAATCAGCATGGTTTCACAGACGGAGTATTGTTTCACAGCTGACATCTCATCCTACACATATGGAAGCAAATCTAGTTAACTTAAAAAATGCTCATGCGCCAGAAAACTAAGGCTGCTTCCAAATGAGACATTTGCTACTAATCAGATGAAAAAACATACACACGCACACCTTCATTCCTGCTCTATTATACTTCAATAACTTTTAGTAAGATTACCAACCTAAGTATACAAAGTATAAGAACCAAAAGTATATTAGCCCCCAAATTTGTAGATTTTATTTGTTCATAAAATATCTCATTGGGGAAAATTAGCAGAATATTTTGTCCTTTATGGTGAGACTGATAAATTTTCTCTATTCCACTCCAATAAGCAGAATAACATTATCCAGTTGTGTGGAACATTTTGCCTTCTCAAGAGGAAAGCCTATGTTGGGACTTCCTATTTTTCTTTTGGTTTAACAATGGTTCTTTAACAGACTTACCATATCCAGCATTGACCCACCCCAATTCTTTCTGATCCCAACATTACAATCAAGCCTTTGCACATCCAGAGACTCCTCAAATCTGCCTGTCTCAACCTCGGCTTTTCTAGGCTCTCCTCACTACTCTCACGTTCTCCTACCATTCTTTCAGAGAAGTTTGCCTTTAGATAGTTTCAAATTATAGGAAACCAGGCAACACCAAGCTCTCTCCAGTTCAGATCATCTTCCTATTCTCCAAAAAGACAAGAAGAAAACAGGGTAGAGGCCATACAGGGGTAACAAAAGCTAGCTGTCCTTCCAATCTTACAATCCACCATTCTTTCTCTGCTTTTCATCCATTACTTAGCACTGAGGTCATCACACTGACCATAATCTCACTATTTGCCATCCATTGAACACTACCCTGTTCTTTGTCGTGAAATCCCCTTCCACATCACTCACACCACAGGTTGACAGGAAATGCTTTACTGGCCTCCTCTTGACTATAAGATTATGTAGTCCTGACTGTCCTGAAACTGACTATGGAGATCAGACTGGCCTTCTCTAAAGGAAACCTCATCTCACAAATTTTCTTCCTCAGCTTGGGGCACACCTGTAAAGCCAACACTCCAGAGGCCGAGATAAAGAGAGGATGGTGAATTTGAAGCCAGCCTGGGATACATCATATGACCCTGTCTTTTAGAAAATGGAGATGGGGAGAGAAGTTGAAGATGTAGCCCTCAATTGGGAAAGCGTGAAACCCTAGGTATGGTGACACATGCCTATAAATCCCAGGACTCAGAAATCAGAAGATGGAGGCAGAAGGATCAGAAATACTGGGTTATACTAAGTGACATATTGACTTTGAGTCCATCTGGAATAATAACAATAATTAATAATCTTATAGTCAAGAGGAGGTTGGTATAGTATTTTCTCTTAGACTATGTTGTGAGTGATATGGAAGGTGATTCAATAATTTTTAGATTTCACACCAAAAAACAGGGTGGTATTCAGTGAATGACAACAAAAAAATCCTATATTTTTGGTTTGGTTTTATTTAAAATCTAGCTTGTCATAAGAGGAGACCCACACCCAAGCATTAGGTGGGGCTTGTGGAACTCCACTACAGGTAGAGGAGGAAGGATTGTAGGAGCCAGAGCTGTCAAGGACACCAGGAGAACATGGCCCACAGAATCAACTAAGCAGGACCCATAGAGGCTCACAGAGACTGAAGTGGCAATAACAGAACCTGCGTGTTCTGCATACATGCCATGGTTATTTAGCTTTGAGTGTTTGTGAAATTTCTAACAGTGGGAGTGGGGGTGTCTCTGATGACTCTTTTTGCCTGCTCTTGGACTGAGTTCCTCGTCCAGCCTTGATACAAGGGTATGTGCCTATTCTTACTTACTGCATCTTGTTATGCCACGTCCAGATAATATTACTTGGAGGCCTGCTCTTTTCTGAAGGGAAATGGAGGAACAGTGGATCTGGGGAAGGGTGGGGTTCAAGGACTGAAGGGTAGGGAGGTTGCAGTTGGGATGTCATTGTATGAGAAAATATATATATTTTTTTTTTAAAAAAAATAGCTCCTATTTTGGACCATTTCATGCAATTTGGGTTTTAACAGGTCACTAAAGACCTAGCCAAACATAGTCTAGTCCAATTTGCACTGGCCAACAATGGCATCCTGAAACTGGATTCTAATTTGTCCTAACTTCAATTTAATCTTCTTAAAATGCTACATGTTGCTATGCCATGCCCAAACTCTACAGCACACACCCCCACCATAATGAGTTAATTACACTTCTCTTCCTCATTTCCCGGGGTTTAGCTATTTGGACTTAAACCTCAGTTATGTCTATTTCCTGGTCCCTTTACTGCACCAACTTTTCCTTTTCACTGAAATGTAAGTCCTCTTCAAAAGTAACAACATCCCACTTTTTATAAAACCTTCTTCATCAGCTCAAAAAGATGCTCATTTTCAAGCTCCTGTTGTTTTACTTTGAAATTTGGCACAGTGTTTGGCTTACTCACTAAACAGGTTTATGGGAATATTTGCAAACACTACAGCTGTTTACCCAGTTCAAGGAGGCACAGAGTGAGTGTCCATTCAGAAAGGGAGAGAGATGGCACTAACAGCAGGTGTGCCGGCTTATCACCAGATATGTGACTTTGTCTATTTCAGAGAATAGAGATTATTTCTTTTCATTTAAAAAAGGCAACTATATTTTCATCTTTTAAGAAAACTAAACAAAATTGAGAAAATTTCATGATCAAAAAAAAATCTAAAATCTTACAAACCAACACAAGTCCCCACCCCCATGTTTACATAAACATAACAGTGCTCAACTTTGTGGGATTTCAAATATTTCTACAATTCTTTCCTTTCTCTGGGCTTTTTGCAGAATTTGTGTCTGGCTGTACCTCCCTATGAACTTGTGACAGAACAGAAGAAAGTTCTGTCAGTTTTGAAGGTACGTGGAATACCATACAAATAAACTATGTCAGTACAAGTATGCACAGACAAAAATGCATTAAAGTTGCTTAATTCAAAGAAACGTATATTACATTTGCAGGACGCTGAAACATGAGTATATAAAATAGAACAATGAATATGTCTTTTCTATTTTTTTTTAAAATCCTTCCAAATCAGTACACATTTTAGAACTTAGGTATCAGTATTAACACTCTGCCATTCTTAGAGCAGTTAATGGAATGAATCTAATGAACTAACAGAATGAGTCTGGAATGTTATGGCTGTTGTGATTAAGAGTATCAAAGGTCAACCTTTGATATAAATAAAAATAATGTGAAATAAATCTTCCACTAGATTGGTGTCTGTATGTTTTATTCAACCTTTTATCCCTCAAGATCTAGCTCAGGTCACTTTATAGAACAAAAATAACGCTTTGCTGAAACATGAGGGAGAATGTGCCAAAGTACCACCTGAAAAATACAAAATGTTGAATGAAATCATTATTAATCAAAATTTTTCTACTGGAATCTTTGAGAAAATAAAAGCGCACTTCTCATCCCAGAGCTAAAAGACAGCTGGAGCAGTACTCTATTTCCCTCAGAGGATAAAGGCATTTGAAGGCAGTCATTTCTTAGTATTTGAAACCATTTGGAGAGGGAGAATGTAACCAAACTCTATCAATCTAGTAACTATGGATCTTCTTTAGAAAAACAACAAATGTAAGTTCATGCACATAAACCCACCATTTCACATATACCTTCCAAGAGTTTGGGACTCCGGGTTAAAAATCCCTGTGTTAAGGAAAAGACTAATTACTTTATAATGGTCAAAGAAGTGAAATTAATAGTATCCTATCTAGTGTAAAATTCATCACACAAGAATGTATTGACAAACCCGAAAGTCTTAGAACTCCTCATTCTTTCCACCATTTTGTTAAATTTGCTTACCATATTAAAATGGTACTTTTATGTACCATATAATTTCTTCCATGCTTTAGTATAAATCATGATATTAAAGACTTCTAAAATACATATTAAATAAAAATGTGAGGGTTTATAAGGTCTAGAAATTAAAAAAAAAAACAGAAAACAACTTTAAGTTTTTAACATAAGCTATAATGCTGAATTTTAATTGCCCAGGAAGCATTTCCTGATTTCATAGCTATGTCGGAGGAAAATGGGGAGAGAGTAGGCAGGAAGGAGACAGTCTTGGACACTTATCAGGGATTATGGGCAAGTCTGGGAAAACTTTGGACAAATTTTCTGTACAAATTTCAAATGAAAAAGAACAGAGAAAGCTAAGGAAAGCAGCTCTGCTCAGCAGCACCCCTCACAACACAAAGAAGTGAGTGAAGACAGCCAGTCACTCTCTGTGGCCTTGTAAGGAAACAGAGCCAATGGAAGGCTCACTTGAAAGTTGGAGAAAGCTAAGATCTAGAAAGCATCATTACCAGGAGCCAGATTTCCAACCCCACAGCATACATAGCAAAGTCATAATTGAATTAAGGTATGTTTAAAAGTAATATACTGGGATTTTCTAAGCCAGTAGCTTTCTTATAATGTTGCAGCTTTCTTATAATGTTGCTATAAATTTACTTTTAAATGCAAGCTAGAAATTAATATTTATGTTGAACTCTTAAAAACACAAATTAGATGAGTAGAGAATTGGTCAATTCTATGACCTCAACCAATTAAAAAAAAACTAAAAATAAATTTTCACTTTACTCCACTATACCTCAGGATGAAGTAATTTATTTTGTTATATGTAACAGGAAGTCACCATATTTTATATTGAAAAGTAACCCCAAAACTGCCAATGCTATATAACATTGGCAACATCTTCAAATAAGATGTTTTATTATTATTATGTTAAATGTTTAGATTTAACATAATAGTTTGATTTATTTTTGGTATTCACAATACTTTTTCTTTTTAAAAAACAAATTAAGGCATACTTTTTAAACTTTTTTTTTTTTTAACTCTCAAGAGGCTTGATTTTCTTTTTCTCCCCAGAGGCATTTATGGTGATTATTTTTTAAATTAGCTTTTGTCCACTGCACAGAACTAAGTTCAGTTTATTTTTTATTATCATTTTTTGAGACTATTTCAAGAAGCTTTGCATTATCAAAAACATCACTTTACATTATGCCTTTATAAAGTACTCAGTCCATTGTTCTTTGATTATCTAAGGTCATCTATTACAACTTATATGGTCTCATTTTATAGGACACCCAACTTCTCTCCTCTACTGTAAGCTTTATTCTGGCCAGGTACTTTCATCACATGTCAGTTATTTAACAATGAAATTTCCAAACAGACCTAGAACTACTGTTTGCGCTCAATAAAAATGTTACACTGCTATGGCTACTACTTACATACAATGTTTACCCCATGTTCAAGTTTCTAATAAGTCAACTACAAGTTGAAAATCTGTTTTTGAGGCATTTCCTGGTATACTAGGCAGTGCATGAGAAAAGAGATTATATTGCATTTAGGCCATAATAATTACCTTTTAACCATCTATGTAGAATTAACAACCATCCAAAAAGAAAAGTGCAAATGTGCAAATGAAGAAGAACAAAACAGTTTGTATACATGTAATGCATAATATATGATATAAATCTAGGCAACTAAAAACAATGGCTGACAACATCTTTCTGAGCATTGTAGACACCACCAGATTTTCTTTGTATGTATTCTTTCTTTTCAAAGACTCAAAGAATGCAATAAACATTATCTTAATGTTTCAAAAATTTCAGGAGTAGATTAGAATATTACCATTTTTTTTCACAAACCAAAAAACAAAGAACTATCATTACTTTTGTATTATTTCCAATAATAGAATAAGGTCTAGCTAATCTCCTCTGGGATCTTAATTAGTACTGTAAGTTTATTTGTATGAGTTAAAAATAGTATCACTCATGAGAAACAATGTCAAAATTATTATGCTATTAAATTATGTTAAAGGCCTAATGAAGAAATACTTTAGCAACTATGAGGTACACGCTAGTTGTAGGCATGAGGAACGTTTATATTGGCTCTTTTGGGTGTATACATTAAATGCAAAATCAGAAAGAAACCATGCAAAAATCCAGTTGCCCATGCAAGCACCCCAGAGTCTAATCCTCTCCTTTCAGTTCTGTTGTCAGGCCACAGTAGTGTGGAGACTTGTAGGCTGCTGTCCTTGTTGTAATGAATGGGAAGAGGCTGACAGTGGCATGGTCGAAACCTTCACCTCTTCTTCCCCTGTGGAAAAGTCAGTCATGGTCTAGTTACGGGTGACTAGATTTGTTAACAGTCCCTTTAAAAATGATTTCAATATTTGGAATATTGATACATATATAAAATACATGCTTATTAATTGGAATCTGGGTGTGAAACAAGACATGAATTTTTAAATATTAACTTAAGTACCTAAAACAAACTAAACACACCCTTATTTTAAGGTAAAATTAAATGTAATATTTGGATTACAAATGCACCACAAAAAGTAAATAAATAAAAAGAAAGAAAAGATTAAAGACCAGGAAAGCCATTCTTTTCCAAGCCAATTGGACCCTTATATAGATATTCCTTATCAGTAAGTACTAGTTTGAAAAAAAAAAATTAAGCCTTGACTTACAGGAGAAAAAACTGATTTTAAAAGAAGAGAATTATAAATTCGTGTTTCAAAGGCATAAGTTGTATATTAGGGAAAAAATAGATATAAACATTAATTGATAAAATTTAACATATAGCATCTGAAATTTACTATGGACTTTTCAAGTAATTAGAAAACAGTAAAACATTAACAGTACAATGATCCAATTGACTGAAAAGTAAGATGACTACATCTAGTCAGAAAACTATACATGAATGAGACCAGTTCTCCTAATTGTAATTGGTAATTATTTCACTACAGGTAACTTACTTTATGCATGACACAAACTCAATAGTCACTGTGAAAATAGTTACTATAAAAAGAAATTTTAAAGAAAAATGCTTTCTGGTAAGTAGAATTTGAATTAACAAAAACATGAAAAATCCAAAGCCTAAACAATTTCAAAAATTTTTGAGTAATACCGTGAAACAATACAGACTTACACTTACTAATGTTTACTTTTCCAAATAAGTTTCAGTATCATGTAATAAAACATTTTAGCAAAGAATTCTTTGAAAATAAATAAATAAATTCTTTGAAAAATAAATCTGCAAAATTACGCTTGGAAAGGCAGCCTAACTGACAAACTGTAGAAAGAGACTTTCAATCTATAAAACAGGTTATTTCAATTAGCAAACTCTTATATCCTCAAGTACATAACAGGAGACTGTGCCAAAGCAAATTTAAAATCCATTTCTTGGTGAGAACATCAGTACTAATAAGGACCTAAGCAAGAGACTGAGTCTCAAGTTAATAAGCACCATTCTACTTTCTTGTATTTGTTTTTTGTGGAACATACTCCTAACATGGGCCAATTTGTTTCATGAGGAAATACCACGGATTTAAAAAAAAAAATAAAAAGGATCTGCGAGTATGCGAGAGCAAAAGTCAATTACGGGAGAAAGCCAGGTGCAGCACATGCCAGTGGTCTTCAATTGTGAAGGAGAGCATCAGTGTTGCATCACAGAACCACTTCCATTACTGATTTTGAGATCTGGGCTGTGACCCTAGCTTGATACTAACTGAACATGCAACCTTAACTTATTTAAGTTTGTTGGAGTACAGTCTTGACAATCATAAAATGAAGGAACTGGACAAAGAGAGTCACTTTTTAGAACAAACATACACAGTTTCAATAATAAAAAATATCTAAATGAATCCCTTCTCCTTATTTACTAATAAAACTGCTCAACAGGAAAATTTCAATTATCTTCTGGACTTAGCAAACCAGATTCACATGCCCAGAAAACACTGCTAAAAAAACTTAAGTACCGAAAGAAATAGCCAATTTAAAGCACAAAAATATTTTCAGTGAAACAAAGGAATGGAAACTGAATTTCTGTCACACCTCTGGCAACTGTACTGCCCATGATAGGTTTCAGATATATCAGTGTTTTTATAATTAACTGAAACAAACAAAAATAAAAATTTAAATACAAACATATAGTAAACAGATAAGGCTTTTGCATGAAATGGTGGCTGTCAACTCTGATTTGCTCCTACAGGTCAGGATCCTATTTTTCTCATAGCTGAAGAACAAGTATATGTGTGTACCTTTCCTTCCTACAACTGAATTAGTTTGAAGACTATTTTAGGAGGCCCCACAAAGAGTGTGTAGTCTCCACTAGTGAAGCACTAACAAACAGCTGGGCTGAAAAGGCCACCATGATAAAGACTAGAGGACGCAAAGTTGAGTTCCTGGCAATCATCCAATTCAAACACTTCTGGGGAGTGAGAAGCAGGTAATTCCTAGGTAAACTGTTTCAAATTAGATGCATTTCAGATGTTTTCTTTTGTCATTTATCATGTTATTGAAAGTCCTAAATCATCTAGTTAACAGTTCTGTAACTATTCTAAGGCATCCTGAGACATCTGTCAAATACTGACTAGCTCTAACAGGATTCTAGTATGACTCTTAACAATTTTAATTATTTTTTTATAAATTAAAACTGTTTCTCTAATCTTCAGTACTTTAAAAATAATCCAATAACAAGTTTAGTTATGTCACCATTTAAATACCAAACAAAAATGCATAGCCAAGTATTAAAACTCTGGAATAACTTTCCCTACCCCACAGTGAATACAATAATGAGTCAGAATTAAAGTTGGTGACTTCATTTTTAGCATCTCTGAAAAAAGTTTTCAATGTTCTGTGGTTGAGTTTAGGCAAAGGGAGGGGGAAAAAACAAATGATAGAATTATAATTTAATGTTACATTTAAAAATTTAAAAATAAAGTTATGTATTTTAGGTGAAGATTCAAAAAAAAACTAAAACAAAAAGGTCTGCACTTAACAAATTAGAGATATCTCATTGCTGATATTCCAAAATATCTACTTGTTTGAAACATTTGGAAGTGTTCCTGGGTCCTAACGAACACTAACAACTCAGAAATAAGAACAGACAGCCTACAAAAAATAGACATGTAGTAAGTCAAACAAGGGAACCAAGTCTGTACAGCTAAAAACAAAAGTCCAATATCATGTACACTGATTCTCTACCAGAGTTCCTCATCTTGTCTATCTGATCCCTGCAATTTAAAAAAACACCTCTTGTTACAGAAGACAGTTCTGCTTACTCTAGTGGCACACAGTATCTGTCTCTATGCCTTTATTTAGGAGGTTTCCATCAACATAAAAGACCTTTCTCTTTTGCTGCTTACCCAAATTCAAGATACCATATTACAGATCAATTTCTCTTCTTCAAAAAATTCTCCAACAATGCTGAGCTACACTGTTTCTCAGATTTCAGGACCACACTTACATGTTAGTCACTTTCCCACTTTTAACTCAAGTACACTGTCAACTACCTGAAATAGCATCCGTTTTCTCTGCTTTTGTATTCCCCACATAACCTAATTGCACTGCTGGGCAAAAAGGACCTGAAATGTTAATCATAATTGGCTCGATATTTTTAAATGTTTGGCATATTTAAGAGGACCTTAACTTTTAACGTTAAGATCAGCTAAAAGGAAGAAATTAAAATGTCTTCTCTCTAAATTATTGAAACAAAGTAAACCCGAAAAAAATTACATTCCAGTATGCTATGTTGAATGGAAGAACAGGAAAAGGTATGTAGAAATTAAGAGTTAGTGGATATCACAAGGAAAGGACTGAAAAATGCTACTCTGGATTCCCTACAACCTAGTATGATTCAATGACCAAATACCATGAACCCCATCAAATGTACAAATCACTACAGCAGGTGTTCTCCAATAGGTTTAAAATAAGTTCACTGTTTCAACTGTTAAACCTTACTATATCCATAACAACAAAGACCTAGCTACTTGTTTAAAACATGAAATGCTGCTGGCTCTAAGGGAATGACTATTGATGGTTCTAAGTCCACCTGTCAACTTTCTGGAAACAAGAGCATGAGTGCCTTACTGGTGAAAGTATACTACTGTGTAATGACATTATGCCATGACATACCTTAAAGGTCATGGCAAGGGACAAAAACAATTGTATAAGTACACAACAGAGTAAGAAGTATTCTGTACTACTTGAAGAGAACCAGAAGGGAACAAACTTTTATGGCCCAGTGAAAACAGTTACTCAGAATGACTCCTTTCCAAGATACTTCATTTAAAACTGTATATAGGATCTTAAAGCCCCAAAATTCTGAAACCTTCAAGGGTAGCAATATAAAACCAGAAGTCCCCTGGCATCAAACTTGTATTACCTTATTCATCTAAATTTATTGTTCTCAAAAATAAAAACACAGTCAACTAATAAAATCTCTCCTAAACAATTTTCCACAAAAGTATGTCTGTGACATAATATGGTTATAAAGCATTGATAACTGAAGTTCTCAAATATTGTTAAATGCACATATGGCACAGTGATGTGTGCATGTATGTATCAGTCAAAACAAGCAATTGATACAGCAGTTAGAGTGGCTTTATCCCTCATGCTCTCATTAATTTTGATTTAAAAAAATTTAACCAATTTACTTTTAGAATATAACACAAGATATTTTTACTATGGTGTTGGCCTTTATAAAACCATAATTTCAGAGCCCAATTTTTCTTTTTCATTTTTGTGTTTACATATCATCTGAAGGTCTGGAAATTATCCTATTAAATACAATGCTTCCAAACAATAAGTAGGTATAATACTCCACCATCCTTATAAAGCTCCATATTACAAGGCATTCACTCAATCCAAAAAAAAAAAAGGTTAGAGATGTAATGTTTTTCATAGAAATTTCTAAGACTATTGTTTGCTCTTGTTACCCAGCAACCCTAACCACCCAGCAACCTGAAGATATTAATAACAGATATATTCTCAGAGGCTTTAAATGAACCTACCTGCTATTGGGATCCCTCCCAGACCTGTGTTGTGCTGTGGCGGGAGATTCAAGTCCAAGAAATTACTATTTGAGGTGGGGTTTGCTGTGTGGTTCAAGTGCATGATGCTATTGCGTGGAAAGGCCATCCAAGGATAGCGGGCTGCCTGGCCTGGAAAACCAAATGAATTATAAACTGCTCGGTGCTGCTGAAATTGAGGGAACCTCTGTGGCAAGACTGAAAAGGTACTATTAAGAGAGTTGGCATTTGTAGGTGCAGCAGAATGCAGGAATCCAGAGCCTGGACCTTTGGCGGTTGTAGTGTGTGAGGAGGAGTTCTGAAGAGATGTGGGAGACAGGGAAGGTTGATCTTGGACAGACAGTTCCTTCTCAATTAGGTCTGCTAAGGCTTTTCGAGTGACATCAAAGGGATCAAACCCCAAGTCATCTTCTGGCTGTTTAGAAGAACCAAAGCCAAACGCTGCTTGCCAGTCTGTAGATGATGATACTGGGATTGTTTCTGTTGAGAATAAAAATAGTGATGAACATAAAAAGTCCATCTTCACAGTGTACATTAAACATCCTACATTAAGTCAAACATGCTACAATAGAAAACAATCATATGTAAAATCACTAATTTCAGAGTACCTCATAAAACTGCAGCAGTAATTCACTGTTAAATTATGAAGTTAAAAAGCTGAATGATCTAGACTGATAGTGCTGATCAGAAGGAAAAATGCCTCGCTACACAGATTGCATCCCATCATTCATAGTTAAAACCAGCCAGCATGTTATTAAAAGTACTATCATCTAAAAGCTTCTAACTAGTAAGACTTATATACTAGGCTAAATTAAAATTCTAATTATATGTTTTTAATTGTATACATCACAGGTGCTATTGTGCCTATTAATTTATGCCATCTTTCAACCTAATAAAAAAATTTAAATGAGTAAAAAGAAAAATGGTGTGCTCTCTGCTTTCTAATCCCAAATGCTCTGCTTAGCCGTTCACCACACACTAAGACGGCCTGATTCTTCAGTCTAGTTTCATCTGAATGTGATGTAGTAAAAGACATCAAAGTTTCTGCAAGTGAACATAATTTCAAAAGGATAAATGCATAACTCTCATACAAATATAAACCATGTCAAAAAATTTTAAAGTAAAATAGCAGAAAGGGCAAAATTTAGTTTTTACTACTAAATAAATTACTTGTGAATTAGACAATTGGGTGAAGATCCTAAATTGTATTACATAAGCATAAATCTGACTTAAAAAGTTGAGTCCTAAGTTACTACCAAAGCAATTGTTTTTTAGCTTCTATTCTACACCCCCCCCCCCCCCCGGTTTGGGTTTTGAGACAGGGTTTCTCTATGTACCCTGGCTGTCCTGGAACTCAACAGATCCAGCCTGTCTCTCTGCAAGGATTAAAAGTGTGTGCCACCACGCTCAGCCACACAGTGAGTTTTTAATTTGAGAAAATAACCTAACAAATGACTTCTAGATAAATCTGTTCTACAACACTGTAATTTCTAGGCAACACAATATCTAATACCACGTTGTGTGGGAGCGCCTTTATTTGCTAATTACTTTAGACTGGACATTTAGCCTATGTTCCTTGCTTGATGTTTTTCATGCTGGTTGTAGTTCTAGTTTTAATGCATGTTTTTTGCTTCATCTTTTCCCTGGACAATACTTGATATTTGTTCTTACTGTATATGGTTTTGTATTAGGCTTAGAACCCTTTATTTAGATAAAAGGGGGATGTACTATGGGAACTCCATCAGTCAATAGCCTTTCTGATACTGGCCCATTTGGGTGTGGTCTGAGGAACTATAAGAGCAAATGAAAAAGCATGTGGTCCTAGAGCCCACAGAGGACCATGGATCTCTACCCTTATGGTAAGTTTTCCCAAAAGAATAAACCTTTGTTATACTCCACTTCAGGCTATTGTGGACCTCTTAATATGCCTACACCATGTAGTTTAAATAATTTACATTTTTTAAAAAAGAAAGTTGTTAGAAAACAAGACAGAAGTATATCAACCAAATTGTATCCCAACGATTTGTCAATTTCTATGAGTCTGATTACTAATTACATACCTGACGTGAAGAGGCTCTGTGGTTCTGGAGCTGTAGGCCAATCACTGGGTGTCTGTGGAGAGCTGGGAAAAGGAGGAAGCCCACTTGGTATAGGGTTGGGGTGGCGAAAATTGTCTGAGAATAATGACTGTGACTCTGTTACTGCCCCTTCAAAAGGAGATCGTGCACTGTGATTGGATGAACTGATGGGGATGACAGGATTGGATTTTGATAAACCAGGTGGTGGTGAAGGCGTATCACTGTTAGATATCTAAAAAAAAAGAGGAAGAAGTCAAGGTAAGTTTGTATCTTAATAAACCACAATTTTAAACATCTGCAATAAATGGTTTCTAACAGTGGTCTTCGAGCCAGAGCACCTGACTTCTGAATCAAAGTGTGGAATTTGAGAAAAGCAAGCAATTCATTAATTTATACATGTACTTAAAAAAAGAGTTCCTGAAAAGACTAAGCCAGTCTCATCTTCTTTTACACTTTTTCTTCTTGTACTTTCCAACTCCCCAAAACCCCTTCCAAATGAGTGATGTCTAGGATTCCATTATATAGCTCAAGAGCAATTGCTCAAGAGTAAAAACCTTTAAAGAGTAACAATAAATGATCAGGAATGCTCAAACTGGTAATAAGAGAATGACTGGCTCCAACGACAATACGCAAAATCGTCCTTTTGCAAATTAGATGATTTTAAGTATTTTAGGTTATTTAGAAAGATTTTATTTATTATTTATACAGTGTCTGGCTGCACCTATGGCCTTCATGCCAAAAAAAAAAAAAAAAAAAAAAGCCACCAGATCCCTTCATAGATGGCTGTGAGCCACCATGTGGTTGCTGAGAACTGAACTCAGGACCTCTGGAAGAACAACCCTTATTCTTAACCTCTGAGCCATCTCTCCAGCCCCGGTATTAGTTTTTAGTTAATATAAAGGGAGATCTAACCAAGCTTTTCTCAAATAATCATTAAAAAATGATTCTGGAGTTAGAAGTGTAGTCATGGCTAGGACCCTGTACTCAAACCTCAGCATCAAAAGCAAAAATAACAACAACCAACTAATCAAACAAACAAAAAGAAAAAAAGAAAACCCCATGCTTATTCGAAGATGAAATCCTAATTGACTCTGAGGATCTTCCAGTCCCTGTCCTTCCAATGTTGGGTTTACAGATATATACTACAGTGCTCAGTTCTTATGTGAGTACCTAGGGTAGATTCAGGCCTTACGAGCCTTACATTTATCTATGAGAAGTATAATGCATTAAGATACAAATGTGTGAAAGCAATAGAAAAAGGTATATTATATTCCAAGAAGAAAAGAGAATGATGGGCCGGGCGATGGTGGCGCACGCCTTTAATCCCAGCACTCGGGAGGCAGAGGCAGGCGGATCTCTGTGAGTTCGAGACCAGCCTGGTCTACAGAGCTAGTTCCAGGACAGGCTCCAAAGCCACAGAGAAACCCTGTCTCGAAAAACAAAAAACAAAAAACAAAAAAAAAGAAAAAAGAAAAAAGAAAAGAGAATGATGCAAAATTTCTAACTGTTGAAAGTATTTTCTAAAACAGAATTTTCTAAATCTAGTATCAAAACAAGAGGTGAACAAAATATGATGATGAGTACAAAATCTTATGATTCTTAGATATATCTGAAAAATAGTATAGTATTTTGGTTGAGTAAACTGTTAGGCATGTTAGATATGTATGTAAGTCCAGCCCTTCCGAGGTTTACGTAAAGAGAATCAGAAACTCAAGGCAACTGTCAGCCTTATTTACAAAACCAGCTTGTAAGAGGACCCTGTCTAAAATAAAAGAGAAAGAAAAATGTCAAAACTGATTATATGCTAAAGATTAGAACTTGTAACTACTTGTAACAAAAAAATTTTAAGGTTTATTTTATGTGTATGAATATGTATCTTTCCTGTGTGTATGTATATGCATCACATGTGTGCATGGTATCCACAGAGGTCAAAAGAGAACATTGGATCCCCAGGAACTAGAGGTAGGATGGTCATGAGCCACCATATTGGTACTGGGAATCAAAAAACCTGGGTCCTCTGCAAAAGCATCCAGACCCAATTACTTTTAGCTCATTTAAAAAAAAATTATGTATGCTGGGCGGTGGTGGTACATACTTTTAATCCCAGCACTTGGGAGGCAGGTGGATCTCTGTGAGTTCAAGGCCAGCCTGGTCAACTGAATGAGTTCCAGAACAGCCAGAGCTGACACACCTGTCTCAAACCTTAAAAAAAAACTTAAAAAAAAAAAAAGTCAACTCAAAATATACAAAGGCTATTTTAAATAATCTGTAACTAAAAACTTTAAAAAAATACTGCAATTTAGTTTTATCAGTTTTTTTTTTACCTATCTTGTGGGAAAATGGCCATTCTTTACACAAGAGATTAAAAATACACTAATTTTACCAATATACAAAGATGTATGGAGAGCCAGAAAAATGACTCAGTAAAAGTACTTGTTCCACAAACATGAGAACCTGAATCTTCAGTGCTCACATAAAAAAGCCAGGTGTGGAGGCACATGTCTATAACCCAGTGCTGGGAAGGCCAAGACATGTTAAACCCCAAGAGCACAGCTGGCTAGTTAGGCTAGCCATGGTTAAGCTCCAGGTTCCGTGAAAGACCCCACTATGAAAAACAAATCAAAAAATTAAGGTGAATGGGGCCAGAAAGATGCCCTAGTAGATAAATATGCCTGCCATCCTGAGCTTGATCCCCAGGATTCACATGGCAGGAGGAGACACCTGACTCCCACAAGTTGTCACCCCAACTCCACTCGTGAGTTGTGAACATACCCCCACATACTGTGTGTGTGTGTGTGTGTGTGTGTGTGTGTGTGTGTGTGTGTGTATGCAAGCCAATGAGCTGTCCAACACTGTCTATTAAAATGAGTGAAGGCCTGGCTATGAGAGCAAACTTGGTGTTTTCTTATTTATTATTAAGCTCTGTGGGGGGCTATTTGCCAAGGCTCAAAGGGCTAAAAACTGGACTAAACCGGCTATCTGAGAATGAAGTCTATCACTTCTCCAAATTGAGTCAAGGGAGCTGCTAGCAACAGCCTGTGAGACAAGAGGACGTGAACGAGTCAGACTTTTTTTTTTGTCTATATTTTTATTTATTTATTTATTAAAGATTTCTGCCTCGTCCCCGCCACCGCCTCCCATTTCCCTCCCCCTCCCCCAATCAAGTCCCCCTCCCTCATCTGCCCAAAGAGCAATTAGGGTTCCCTGACCTGTGGGAAGTCCAAGGACCACCCACCTCCATCCAGGTCTAGTAAGGTGAGCATCCAAACTACCTAGGCTCCCACAAAGACAGTACGTGCAGTAGGATCAAAAACCCATTGCCATTGTTCTTGAGTTCTCAGTAGTCCTCATTGTCCGCTAAGTTCAGCGAGTCCGGTTTTATCCCATGCTTTTTAGACCCAGGTCAGCTGGCCTTGGTGAGTTCCCGATAGAACATCCCCATTGTCTCAGTGTGTGGGTGCACCCCTCGCGGTCCTGAGTTCCTTGCTTGTGCTCTCTCTCCTTGTGCTCCTGATTTGGACCTTGAGATTTCAGTTTGGTGCTCCAATGTGGGTCTCTGTCTCTGTCTCCTTTCATCACCTGATGAAGGTTAATATTTAGGAGGATGCCTATATGTTTTTCTTTGGGTTCACCTTCTTATTTAGCTTCTCTAGGATCACGAATTATAGGCTCAATGTCCTTTATTTATGGCTAGAAACCAAATATGAGTGAGTACATCCCGTGTTCCTCTTTTTGGGTCTGGCTTACCTCACACTCAGGATAGTGTTTTCTATTTCCATCCATTTGTATGCAAAATTCAAGAAGTCCTTGTTTTTTTACTGCTGAGTAGTACTCTAATATGTATATATTCCATACTTTCTCCATCCATTCTTCCATTGAAGGGCATCTCAGTTGTTTCTAGGTTCTGGCTATTACAAACAATGCTGCTATGAACATAGTAGAGCATATACTTTTGTTGTATGTTAGGGCCTCTCTTGGGTATATTCCCAAGAGTGGTATTGCTGGGTCCAGGGGTAGGTTGATCCCGAATTTCCTGAGAAACCAAAACACTGATTACAAAAGTGGTTGCACAAGTTTGCATTCCCACCAGCAATGGATGAGTGTACCCCTTTCTCCACAACCTCTCCAGCAAAGGCTATCATTGATGTTTTTGATTTTAGCCATTCTGACAGGTGTAAGATGGTATCTTAAAGTTGTCTTGATTTGCATTTCCCTGATCACTAAGGAAGTTGAGCATGATCTTAAGTGTCTTTTGGGCATTTGAACTTCTTCTGTTGAGAATTCTCTGTTCAGATCAGTGCCCCATTTTTTAATTGAGTTGATTAGCATTTTAAAGTCTAGTTTCTTGAGTTCTTTATATATTTTGGAGATCAGCCCTTTGTCAGTTGCAGGGTTGGTGAAGAACTTCTCCCAGTCAGTGGGTTGCCTTTTTGTCTTAGTGACAGTGTCCTTTGCTTTACAGAAGCTTCTCAGTCTCAGGAGGTCCCATTTATTCAATGAGGCCCTTAGTGACTGTGCTGCTGGGGTTATATGTAGGAAGTGGTCTCCTGTGCTCATGTGTTGTAGAGTACTTCCCACTTTCTCTTCTATCAGGTTCAGTGAGTTCAGGCTGATATTGAGGTCTCTAATCCATTTGGACTTGAGTTTTGTGCATGGTGATAGATATGGATCTATTTTCATTCTTCTACAGATTGACATCCAATTTTGCCAGCACAATTTGTTGAAGATGCTCTCTTTTTTCCATTGTATACTTTTTTCCTTTATCGAAAATCAGGTGTTCATAGGTTTGTGGGTTAAAGTCAGGGTCTTCTATTCGATTCCATTGGTCGACTTCTCTGTTTTTATCCCAATACCAAGCTGTTTTCAATACTGTAGCTCTGTAATAGAGTTTGAAGTCAGGGATGGTAATGCCCCTAGACGATCCTTTATTGTATAAGATTGTTTTGGCTATCCTGGGTTTTTTGTTTTTCCATATAAAGTTGATTATTGTCTTCTCCAGATCTGTGAAGAA